AAGGGATGGGGTGCTTTCCTTGCGGGGAGGGGGCCGAGGCCCCGGGGGCTGAGTGCGGGGCCACGGCGGCGGCGGCGGCGGCGGCGGCGGCGGCGGCGCGGGCGGCCAGCCGGGAGCCGGCTCTGCAGTCCCGCCGGCGGCGCGTAAGGAGAGCCCGGCCGCCGCCCGCAGCCGCACCGCGCCACGCAGCGCCGCACCTGGCCGCCAGCGAACTCGAATTAAAGGGGCCGGCGGGGGCCAGAGCCGACGAGGCGCGCCGCCCGCCGCCCGCCGCCGCCACCGCCACCGGGCTGTCCTCTCAGTGGGGCCCCGGGGCCTCGGCCCCCTCCCCGCAAGGAAAGCACCCCATCCCTTGGCAGAGCTCAGCTTACTGACCAGAACCTCGTGGAGGGCTGAGCTGGGTGCTGCCAGGGCCGGGGAACCGGGGGCAGAAGTTGAGGAGCGGTCATGAGAGACTTCTGCCAACAGTAAGAAGTAGCCAAGGAGGAAACGATCAGTAGCAGCTCTCCCAGGCCCGAGAAGGGATCCAGCCCCGTGGGAAATGTGTTGCTATTCTTACGATGCTGCCAGACAGAATCTGCAGACCCCCTCCTTGCCCTCTAGCGCCGCCTCGCCCCCTCCTCCAGCTCTGCCTCCCACCCGCCTCTTACCCAGCCAAAGCTTTGGCTTCGCAGAGGGGAATGCAGCAGGTGCGGGCCGCAGTGTGGCAGAAACTCGCTGCTGTGTTCGCCCCCACCGGGACGAGCCGCAGGAACCCGCAGAACTGCAGCGCTGGCTCTCTGGACTCCCTCCCGCAGAGCCGGGGCAGGGAAGGCTGGGGGACGTGCAGCTGCCCCAGGGAAGCGCCAGCTCCTCACAAAATGGGCCCCTGACAGACCTCACAAAGCCAGCTGGCCCACGGGGCTCTGGAATTGGAAATGCAGCTCACGGCGCACCGGGGTGGGTGATGGAAGATGCCCTTTGCTTTTGGAAGAATGTGTGGGAAGCCCAGTCTGCCCTCTGCTCAGATGGTGGATCTGAGAGGGCCCAGGGTGCTCTTGAGAGCCCCGTGACAGCCCCAAGCCCCTGCCAGTTCTGGTGTCCTGTCTGAATTGCTGTTCCAAACAGCGGTTCCTTGAGCCCAAACTGCAGCAGACATGGAGCCCTGTGCGCAGAGGACCTCTAGTCCCAGGGAGGCTGCTGCTGGGCCCTCCTTGATCAGAGAACCCTCCTCTTTAGGCCTGTAGTTCCTGATGGAAGCTCTGAGAACCCACGGGGTCTGGGTCTGTGGAATTCAAGTGTTTCATCAAGGTAGTATTCAAGGTATTGTTTAAGACTGGGGGCCTAACCAGAGCTGCAGGCGGACAGTGACCTCAGTGAGCTCTGGGAATGATAGATGACTACCAGGCAGGACTGGTTTGGTTTAGGGCCTCATAGAAGCTGGACTGGCAGTGTCCCAACCTGAGTGTGACCTGGGTATATTGGAACCAGCCAGGCTGGGACTTAAATCCCTGCCAGGTCCTAGGCAAGTTCATTCATGTCTCTGGACCTCAGTTTCCTCATCTGCAAAATGAGGATATTTCACAGGCTGTTGCGAGGGTTAAATTGTTTATGCAAAGAGTTTAGCCCCCAGCAGACACTCCACAAATGTTGGTTTCTCCACTCTGCTTCCCTAGGAAACTCCCCTCCTAACTCCCAGCTTCCTGCTTAGCTTTGGGCTCTTTCTCTAGGTGCCCAGTCACCAGGTTCTCTCTGCTTCTCAGTCTGCCCACCCCTCACTCTCCTTGAGGTCTCAGCCATTCCCACCTCCTTCACCAAACTATCCTCCAGAACTCTGCTTCACACTCCTTCTAGAGGCTTCCCCCAACCAGCCCCCAGGGCTCTCGTCCTCCTTCTTGCCACATAGGGTCTTTCTGTCAATTAAAACACAACAGTCTTAGCCATTTCATCCTGTCTATATATTTTCTTGGCCCTCCTCTGTTGAAATGAAAGCCGTGGACAGAGAAAAGTTCTCAAGGGAGAATTAATAATTGTGCTCATTGGTGACATATGCTTAACATGTGTCAGATACTGTGCCAAGCACCTCTAGCCCAGTGGGACGTGTAATCCTCACAGCTCGAGGAGGTGATTTCTACATCAGCACCATCGCAGAGAAAAGGAAGCTGAGGCAGAGAGATGAAGCAACCTGCCCAAGGCCACCGAGTGGTGGCTCTGGGACTTGAATGACGTCTTGACACACCTGTAACCCTCACAGTCCCTGCTCAGGTAGAATGGGCAGCCCTTAAATTTCCTTTCCTTCTCTGGGATTTTCCTCTGACCCTCCTTCCATCTGGTTGGCCTCAGGCCTATGTCATCCTACCTCTCCCCTTTAAAGCCTGATCTAAGGGTGAATGACAGCCAAAAAGAAATTAACCAGAGAAGGAAAGAAATTAACCAAAGAAGGAAATTAAAAAAAGAAGCATAGGGGCTTCCCTGGTGGCACAGTGGTTGAGAGTCCGCCTGCTGATGCTGGGGACACGGGTTCGTGTCCCGGTCCGGGAAGATCCCACATGCCGTGGAGCGGCTGGGCCCGTGAGCCATGGCCGCTGAGCCTGCACGTCCGGAGCCTGTGCTCTGCAACGGGAGAGGCCACAACAGTGAGAGGCCCACGTACCACTAAAAAAAAAAAAAAAAGCATAACAGTTGTTCAGGGCTCTACCTCTGTGGCTCCTGCTCTGAAAGGTGTCACTTGGTTTGGTAATGCTGGGTGAGAAAAAGAAGGGGCCCAATTCTTACCCCTGACACTTGCTAGCTGTGTGAACTTGAGCAAGTTATTTCAACTCTGAGCCTTAGTTTCCGATCTGTCTACAGGACACCAAAATGACTTTGCGGGGGTGAGGGGTAAGGATTAAATGAGGTATGGATTGGACAGCCAGCTAGCTTAACCTAGGTGTTTAAGGTCACCATTTCCCATTTTGGCCACGAAAGATCAGCTGGAGTGCCCCTAGATGCCCTCCCTGGGGCAGGTCAAACCCCAAAGACCACTCCCTGCCCCTTCAGTCCAGTTTTCTGCTTGGGAGCTAGGTCCTGCTTTCAGCAGAGAGAAAGACTGGTGACCGTCACAGCGAGTGACCGGCCCCCACCCAGCACAGGGAAGGTGTCAGTTCCTGCACTCCAGGACTACAGCCATTGAAGGGAGGAGTTTATGACGGTGCGTCCATGCCCACACCAACCCCCATCCCCACCCAAGCACCACAGGGCCAGGAGGGAGGGGCTTAGTTTTTTCCACCACAATTCATGAACATAGGGGCCTCTAGTGGGGTCACTCCCAGAGGACCAGCTCCCCCTCCTTGCACGACGGCCACGTCTGATGATGCTTGCTGTAAAATGGGGATACTTCACAGGCTGTTGGGGGGTTAGCCCACGAACCCACCCACCCACTGTAGCAGCACAGCCCCCGCTAGCCCACCAGAAGCGGGCCAGGGAAGCATGGAATGTGAGCCCAGGCACTGGGCTGACAGCTCTCCATAGACCATTTGATTTAATCCTTGCCGCCAGCCAGTGGGAAAGGTGCCATTATCTCCATTTTTACAAATGCAGTTACTGAAGCTCAGAGAAGGCAAGTCGCTGTCCAGGGTAATTTAGCCGGTAAGTGATGAGACTGGGATGGAACAGGACTGTCTGATTCCACAAATCACCATTCCATTCTGCTGCTTGCTTCCACTCTTAGCAGAGTGGCAGGCCTCTGGGCTCACTTCCTGGTCTCAGGAACGTGGATTCAATCCAGCAGAACTTGCAGAGCCTCAGGTCATATCAGCATGTCCTGTGGAGGTTGCCCAACCCAACAGGAGGTCTGTTTTAGAGGCGGGTTGGTGCTGACGGTGATGAACTCTTCACACCAAGGGAGTCGGGGCTGTGGCGCATATGATTCAGGACCTGAAGGCTCTGCCCTATGCCCTTTGCTGGAGCAGCTCTAGTGATTCTTCTCTCATCTGCAAGACCCAGGGCTCAGCATCCCTCACCCTGGCCAAGGAATATACAGCACAGAGCATCGGACCAGGGCTGTAGTCTTAGCATGCAGAGCTGTGGGACCCAAGGCCACTCACTTGAACTTTCGGTGCCACAGTTTACTTGTAAAATAGGAAGGATAACATTTCCCACCCCCACCCCCTTTGTTTCATAGGGTTTAAAGAGAAAGAGGGAGGAAGGAAGGAAGGAAACTAACATTCACTGTTAGTGTGTGTTACAATCTCATTTGTTAGGATCAAAGAGAAGAATATGTGTGGACACACTTGGAAAAGCCAAAAGCCTGATCCGTGTGGAAGAGTCCACTGTTCTTGCGATTGTCGTCACTGCTGTCATGACTGTGCCCTGCCAGTGTGCGTCATGCCTGACGTCTGAGGACTTCCCCCGGAAGTACAGTGAGCATCATTGCAGCCCCCTACTTATCTGAGAACTGCCTCCTACACGTCTCCTAAGGTGGTCAAGGGCTGCCTCCTACAGGAAGCCTTCTGAGATTAACTCCTGCTGCCTCCAAGGAACTCCTGT